GTATTGGGCTTACTGCAGATACTGCAGAAAAAGCGAACCCATATATATGGAGTTTAGTTTACATTTCTGCAGCTGTTGTACGTGCAGCAATTAAATACTTGCCATATATATACTTGAAAGCATTAAATATGGAGAATCATAACCATACACCTGTCGTTGTTGTACGTAATGCGGCTGCAGAAATGATTTTGCCTATATATATATATATATATATATATATATATATATATATATAGGAAGGTTATACTTAAAATCTTTTTTTTTACAACCTCTTACAATCATATCTTAACACCGTTGATTTCCGTCAATCAACGGTTATCATTTATTGTGAATTAATAATTAATTAATTAATTAATTTAATTTGCAAAAATCATAACCGTTGATTGGCGAAAATCAACGGTGTTAAGATATGATTGTAAGAGGTTGTAAAAAAAAAAGTTAACGTGGAGAGAGAAAAAAAATCAACTTTAGTGTTATAACTATGTTCTCCCGGGAGAGCATAGTTAAAAGTGGTGGTTGTAGATAACCTTATCTAAAATGGCTATAGAAATACTTTTCCCATATATATATATGGGAATAATGTTTCTGCAGTTAATGCAGATAAGTTATCTGCATTTATTCTCAAAACGACGTCGTTTTAGTATTAGAATCTTAAAAAATTATAAATATAAAGACTATTATAACTCTGAAATAAATTAAAATTACAAAAATACAAAAATACCATGATTTTCGTCCCAAAACGACGTCGTATTGACTTACTGCAGATAACTTATCTGCAGTAACTGCAGAAAAAGCGAACCCTATAAATATATTACGATTCCTTACTTCAATCAATGGGTATAAACATCAAAATTTTATATTTTTAAATGTATTTTTACTTATTACTGATACTAATATTAATTATGTAGTAGTCAAAAAAATTTATTCATTTTATATGATATTATGCACATTTTCACTTATTACTGATACTAATATTATGTAGTAGTCAAAAAAAAGTATTCATTTTATATGATATTATGCACAAATCAAATATATCATGGTGAATCATTCCGATTGTATTGTGTATGAATGCAGAAAATAAAGTTATATATCTATATCTTAAACATTATTCCTTCACTGCTCCGGAGAAACTTTTCAGGCGTGGATATCTATGTGATGTGAATTTGTATCAATAAGACAAAACATGTAACATCGCATAGTCATGTCACGTTTTTATGAAGTAGTTTTTAGATTAAACATTTTTTTTTAGTCTTTGGTAATATTTACGAAATTATTTTTAGTCCCTGGCCATAAAAAAAGATTAAATTAGTCCCTAAAATTATGAAAAAAGGGTCACATTAGTCCTTATGTCAACTCCTCCATCACTAACGTGGCCCTTTTTGCATACTGTTACGGATCAATTTGATCCTTTTTTATTACCAGGGACTAAAATTTTTTTTGTAGATATTGCCACAGACCAAAAAGAGGGTGTTTACTCTAGTTCTTACTTAGGTCTTAGAGTAAATTCGTCCCAGCTTTTCGTTTCTTTCTTTATAATGACATTATAATTTTATCATCTCTTTTTATTTTATTTTTATATATTATTTCAACACTTTTGTCATTGTTCTTTTTATATATAGGTTTAACATTTCTACTTTTTATTATAGAATCTTTTTAAATATTATTTAACATCCATATAAAAATAAATAATGAATTTCACTGACTTTTTTTTTCTTTTCTTATTAAAATGGAACTTAATCATTTTTATGTGAACTTAGTAGAAAAAAAAATTTATAACAAAAACAGAAATATTTTTCCTTCTTTATATACATAAGCAGTTTTGTTTATTATTCCAACTCATACAAGTAAATATTTTTAATTTACTTTTTATTTCGTTAATGCTAAACTTTTTATTTATTAACGGTTTGTTTTGACAAATTAGAATCAACGTTAGTGTTAATAATATGTTGTAAAATATGTATTTTAATATGTGGATGACTTTGACCTGCCTTATGTACGTGGATTACCATTTGATTTTCTATAACTTTTGATATAATATTATAGGGTTTTATAATTCTCATTTAACATGAGAATTTAAATTTTCTTACACACCCTTCGATTTTCGTGCCAATGTGGGTCCTACACATAATTTTTTCTTACATACGGGTCCCACATATTTTTTGTCTTTACAACATGAGAATTCAATTCTCATGTTGAATGAGAAATATAAAACCCAATATTATATAATCAAACGATTATTATATTAAAATGTGTTTACTTTTTATTCATATATAGGGTCTATATAAGGACAAGACTTATATGAAATAATAGAGGACGAATGAATTCATAAGTTAATTATATTTCTATACTTTTCCAAAAGCTTTTCCTTTATCTTCATATGTTTTTCTCTTTTCACCTTTCTTTCTTTATGATACACTGAAGTGTTAATATATGTTGACTGTGCCACCTTTAATACTTGTTTTCGTGTTAATTAATGAACATTGTTTGTGTTTATTAATATATATTACTTGGATTATTTTTGGTAACAGAGTATTTACAACTAAAATAGAATTGAGAAAAATATGAATTTTATAATAGGGGCAGGATATCACCAAAAATATTTACCACCTTTACAACTAATTTAATCACTGTTGATTTTCGTCAATCTAACAGTTATAATTTATTAAGAATTAAGAATTAATTAATAAATATAACTCAATAATTTTGAATAAAGTATAACCATTTGATTGACAAAAATCAACAACGATTTAGTTGATTGTAAGGATGATAAACGTTTTTTGTGGTAAGTATATCCTTCCCCATTTTTAATATACTTCAAACCATAAAAACTGGCCAGGTATATAAGTGAAAATTTATTGGGAGTCTCTTCATTTTATGCAACGACAATTAATTAAATAATCACTAAATTCAAGGCCTTGTCGTTTAACCATTTTCTTAGACACTAATAGTTTAATTAACTTTATCTTAATTTTACATTCAAAAAAAAAAACTTTATCTTAATTCAATCGGTTAAGAAATCAACAAATACATCAATTGAAGTGACATACAATATTTATGTAAAAGAATCCAATTGGAAAAAATCATGAATAAGAGTATAATTTTTTTTTATTAAGTGAAAGAAATTATAACCTCTGTATAATATAAGAAAAAATTCTTTTATATTAAAACAATACACCTCACCTAAAACAATACTCAAGAGGCACTTGATGTTTTTCTCTCTAAATTGGATGCGAAGAATGAAATAAAAAGTATGTATTTATAGTCCAAGAGATTTTCTGCATTCCATATTCGTTCCGTATTTGTTCAAAAATTATGTGCAAATATTTATGGATTTTAACTCTCTCCTGTTATATAAGACATTTTAAATTTTCTGCAAATAGAATCAATTTATGGAGCCCACCAATTGTTTTTTTTTTTTTTTAAAGTAAGACACGATTTTTGGTGAGTCAGTAGGAGAGACATTAATTTCTCTAACAATATAAGAAACTATTCTCCTAATATTTATGTGCAAATATTTCAAAGAATCAACTGTGAAGATTTTGATCATATGAATAAAATAAGCCACCAAAGTGACTTTAGCGTCATGGCGTGCATAATGATATGTAAAGATATTTTATATTTTCCGGATGTTCCATAATTTTTTCGCCTTTTACGGTTGTCTATTGTATGGGAAAAGAATTTTTTTTTTTTTTTTTTTTTTTTTTGGTGAACTGGGAAAAGAATCTTTGTTTTCAAGTAAAAAGTGCATTTTTCTTATAAAATATCATATAATAAAATTAACCTTATTTATGAACAAAGAACGTGATCCATGAATGGAATATTTAACATTTTTCGGCGAATTAAGTATTGGCAATCATTCTCTTATCTTGAAGGTGACATATATCTCTTACTATAGAGATATTTATATAGCGGAAGAATCACTATTACAAAGAAAAATTAAAAAATTACAAAAGCTTAAAAAAAATTAATGTGACAATAGGAGATTTTTTCCGGGGGAATATAGATTTCACATTATCTAGTTATATAAATTTTTTGTATTTATCTTTTTTTTTTTATTAATGATAATTGAATCCTACCTATTTAATGTATGTGAAGAGAGAAATAGATATAAAAATTTCATATAACCTAATCATATAAAATTTTAAGGTTTTATTTTTCTCATTTCATATGAGAAAAGAAATTTTTCTACACACACATGTTTAAGATAGGTCCCACCATTAAGAAGTTAAAATAAAAATAATAAAACAAAACACAAATATCGATGTATGAGTATCGATGTATGAGTGACATAAGAAATACTTTCTTTCACATGAGAAAGTTTTTTTCCAAAATTTTAAGTATCCTACACACATGTTTAAGATAGGTCTCATCATTAAGAAATAAAAATAAAAATAACAAAACAAAATATACATATCGATTAGTGACATAAAAAATACTTTCTTTCACGTGAGAAGATCCGTAGTAATTTAAAGTATTGATAAAAATAAAATCAGAGGTTTCTGGGGAACCGTAGCAAACCGTTCCAGTCATGAATCATAGTTGAGATTACTAAACCCACAAGTCCACAATCAATACCAATACCATGTGTTCCTTTCATTTATATTGCGTGTTGCTTTATTTTGTTATTTTCGTAAAAACTTAATACTGTTGTAACTAGTATTTCAAAAAAAGAAAAAAAAAATACTGTTGTAACTAATTATAGTGGATATATATCAATATCAGCAAGCAATAAAAAGAATGGAAAAAGGTTTCACAATTTCTTTCCCTTCCTCTAGTTTCCCTCTCTTCCCTTGAATTCTTCTTCTCCCTTCCCCTGTTTATCAAAGCTCCCGCTACAGGAACAAAGTTCACAACACAATCTATGAATGTAACGACATGGCGTAGTAGTTTACTCCTTACAGAAACCGAACGTAAAACATTTTTGTCATGGACAATAACAGAGCTGAAACTAAAAATCAGAAACTAAGATATTATTATTCATTAAACAAAACACACCCCATGATCGGAACTGAACTAATTAAACAAAGATTATGCCTTGAACCCACATTATATGGAAATGGCATCCATGAACTCAAGGTCATTTCCCATGGCCTCCAAAATCTCATAAGGAAGGCACACTTCAATGTCAATGCCTCCTTCTTCTGACCCAGCAAACACAGTAATCTTTCCGTTTCTTTTATTTGCTCCGCCACTTCTCACTGCAACAGGTTTTCCCCAACCAAAGTCATTACCATAAACATTGAACCTTGGGGAACTGCTCGTGGCCAAGGAATTACTACTGGCCACGCTACCCAGCCAAAGCAGCCTTGGGGTTTTAACCCAAGACTCATAGTGGCTCTTCACCTTCTCATCAGTGTATGAAGCTATCATTTTGTTCATCTCCCAAGAACACTTGCCGAGTCCACCCTCAAGCAGATCCCTTACTTTCATGGTGACACCACCAAACGTAGCAGCGTTTCCAAAATAATCCTCTGGCAACGGTGGAACCATCCTGGATCTAAACCCAATCGCCATGAAATAATGGATCTCTTCTTGTGGGTCATGACGTTGACAACGGATAACAGAGCGCCAAAGGTGAGTTAAAAGAGCTTGCAGAGAAGATATTTTGTTTGTGCTGGCCTCTGCATTGGCTTTTGCTTTGAGTTGCGCTATTTTTTCCTTTGTGAAATGGAAGATCCTCTCAGGTGGTGACTGTGGGTTGAAGAATTCAAGGTGTTGCTTCTCTTCTTGTTTTGTGAATGGAAATCTTATGGGACAGTCAGTGCCATCAAGAAACCAACGTTCAAGTGCTGGGAGTTTTGATACTTTAAGGTAACCACGTGAGATTTCAGCCCATGAATTGACGAAAAGCCAAAACGACTTTCCGTCAGCGACCACGTGGTTGATTGTACAGCCAACGAAGATGCCGTCAACCAGCTCGGTGACTTGCACTGCTAGCAAAGGCTGTGATGTTCCTTCATAGTTTTTCACTCCGTTGAGCGGAAAGAAGGAGTGGACAACGGGAGGAACGTAGTTTGGTTTAAGGATGTCAGAAACACTAGTGTTGTCTGCTACGGCGTGAACAAAAAGTGCTCCTGCATTGTTGCACACGATGTGAGAGGTTGAAGTGTTGTCGTGATGTTCGACAATGGCGAGACGGCCTGCGAGGGGTGGAAAGAAAGCAAGAGTGGAGGAAAAAGAGTGTTTCAGCTGTTGGATTTGGATTTGTATGTCTTGTGCGTTGATGGGGTTGTGAAAAAGAAGCCCTTTTTGGATGGTTTCTATTGGGAGGAACTGGAGATCACATGGGGTTAAATTGATTATCTGAGGGGAGTCACCATTGTTGTGACTCGGAGCCTGAATTGTAGTGGTGGAGATGACTCGGATGGCTCCCATGGTGTTAATCTTCAGTTGAAGCTAAAAGAATTTATAGTGTGTTACTAGTTGAAATGAACATAATATGTATTAGAAGAAGATTAAAAATATTTATAGTTGTTGAATAAAAATCTATTTTAAAATTTTATTTATAGTTTGTTTTCACAATTGATTAGAAAATTAAAAATATTTAAAACATTAAGAATTTAAATTATAATTACTCATGTAACCCAACTTCTTCAATAATTAACAGAGGAAGAATCAATTAGACTTGAAAAAGTAAAAAATTTATTATATCTCTCTCTCCTAATGCGTCACCGTCTTTTTTGTTTTTGTACATAATGTGTCACTAACTTTATCTGTTATCTTTCTCAATCATTGTAGTGGCTAGTGGCTGTCTAATCATTTTTTTAAGTTAAAAATTATTTATAAATAGAAGATAAGCCAAATAAATTTTCAGAAAATCTATTATATAGATTTTTTTTATAATAAAAAAAAAGTTAAAAGTCACAGTGCCGATTTGGATCTCTCTTTTTTAAACTAGAAGTTACTTATAAATAGAAGTTAGACTAAACAGATTTTAAGAAAAGTCCTTATAATAAAAAGTTTTTTTATGATGAAGAAAAAAGTTAAAAGACAAAAGCTCTTAGGAAGAGCTTTTTTTTAAACTCTTATCAGCTTTTCTTGAATTGTGTGTTATTTTTTTAAAAAGTAAATTTTAAATTGGTCCCTAACAAAAAATTCAGTATCTATTTTAGTCCCTAAAAAAAATTAGTTGGATAGTCTCCAACAAAGACAAATAGGTCCCACGTTGATCCTTCTGTTAATCCCAAACACACGGCGTCATTGACGGAGTTGATGTGTCACGTTAATGGGCATGGTCACTGCCACGTTGGAGGTGGAACGACTTGGTCTAAAGCTCCATAATCCACGTTGCTCAGAATCCTTTAAAGAAATCCAATTGTACGTTAAGTTGTCCTTCCCTCTCAATTTCTTCAAAGGAACGTCGTCGTATGGTTTAGGGTTCTTCTTAAACCAGAGAGAAGGGGATTGACTCGAAGATTGAAGGTTTGAATTTGGGTATTACTGATTTAGGGTTTTCTAATTTAAGGTTTATCCTCAATTTGGTGTTTTATTTGAAACTTAGTGTTTAGGAGATGAATATTTCTTCTGGGAGGGGGAGCTCAAGCCCTTGTAGTTTATTTGGGTCCAGAAGTGAAAGAAGGAGAGCTGCTCCATTGTGTAAATGTGGGAGGCACAATGTTGTTTACACCTCCAAAACCATTACAAATCCAAATAGAGCATTTTTTGGGTGCCCCAATTTCAAGGTGAGGTATTTTTTTGCATGCGTTAACTGTCTAATTTGAATGTGGTGAGACTGGTTATTACCCCAAGACATGTAAGGGACCTGCAGCTCCTTCAAGGTCAAAGCAAAAACCAGTTAGTGTTGAAATTCAATCAAGGACAGTTGAAGAAATAGTCATGAGTCAAGGATGCCATGTACCAGAGACAAGCAGCCAACATGCAACAACTGAGGTTCAACCAAGTTCAAGAGCATAAAGAGGCAACAACCCACCTCCATGCAATCCTACTGAGGTTGTGACCAATGCGACGGTTACTGCAACAAGTAGTGGCACCTAGGCCAGATTCATGAGCTTCATGTCTACACCAGGGTTCAAGCCACCAAGACCAGCCCCACAAAATTGATTGGAATCCATTCAGATTCACTGACATTAGGCCATTTTTTGGATGCCTCTGATATAGGAATTGATTGGAATTGTAATTAGGGTATTTTTTAGAAAATACTTTGATATTGGCCCTGTTGAAATATGTCATTAGGCCATTTTTTGTATGCCTCTGGTTATAGCTATAGTTAGTAGGAACATTATGATTTTTTGGAACACATGTATTGGCCTTCATGGAAATATGTCAGTGGAATTTTTTTGTATGACTGTGGCATGTTGGCCATGGTTAGTAATTGTAACTAGGATATGATGAAATGAATGCAAAATGTTTGCTTACTATCTGTGTTCTGTGTCATTAATGTATTCAATGCTGTAATTTTTAAATTTTGGTCCGCACCTACTGTCTGCTGATACACTTTGTGATTTCTGTCAATAATGGTATTTTTTGTTATGTTTGCTGTGTCCATTATCAGTTCCCTGTTTTTACATTGTAGCTTCACTGTAGCTTCAATGTAAAAAAATAAGTTTTGTTTTTATCAACAATGGTTTTTGCTGATGAAATGGCATTTTTTTTGTTCTGTTTGGGAATGTCCATCATAAGTTCCCTGTTTGTTCTGTTTGCTGAGTCCATTAATGTTCTGTGTCATTAATGTATTCAATGTAGCTTCACTGCATTTGTAAACCATCAGCAATTAAGTGGCCTTATAAGTCCTCAACATTTTCTATCGAGGACCTTTTTAGTCCTTGTTTTATAATTCATAGGTCGATTATGGTCCCTAACAAAATTTTGGGGGTTCTTTTTAGTCCCTGCTATATTTCTGTTAACAACAATGTACGTTTGCTATTAACAGACCAACAATGACATTTCCCCTTGTTCATGCTGATATCAGTCATGACTAACAAGAATGTACATTTGCTATTAACAGACCAACAATCTTTTTTATCTGCATCTTGTGCCAATAAACATAACTTCAAATACATAAGCCATGCTATATACATTTCATGAACAACAATTCATTAAATCTCAACACTGTTCCTTCCATTACAAATCTTTACATTCCAAAAATGTTACAACATGTAATGCTACATACACCAGCAAATCGAAACAGAACCACATGATATATTTCACTCCAGCCAACTTGCAAGATATATATATATATATATATATATATATATATATATATATATATATGGCAAAAGTATTTCTACAGCCACTTTAGATAAGCTTATCTACAGTTACCGTTTATAACTATGTTCTCCCGGGAGAACATAGTTATAACATTAAAAGTTGCTTTTTTTTTCTCTCTCCTCATTTACTTTTCAGAACCTGTCTGCTGACGTGGAGAGAGAGAAAAAAGCAACTTTAATGTTATAACTATGTTCTCCCAGGAGAACATAGTTATAAACGGTAGCTGTAGATAAGCTTATCTAAAGTGGCTGTATAAATGTTTACCCCTATATATATATGTATATATATATATATATATATATATTACAAACACAATAATAATGGATCCAGCAAACACCCTAGCACACCTACACACATGCTTAATTTCCTTCTCCACCCTTTCAAACTCTGCCTGCATCTTCATTAATAGTTCATCAATCTTTATATGGTGCTCATTAATCTTCTTTTTGTGGTCATTCACCTCCAGTTGTAGTTCATCATTGAGCTTCATGTCCACAATGTTCAACTTGAATTTCATTTCAGCTACATTCAACTCCAGCTTATTAATTCTCCAATCTTCCAGCTCCATGGTATCAGATGTAGCTGAAAGTAGCCTTTTGTAGGCCATGAACATAAAAGAGGGGAAAAAATTACATTTTTTGTGCGGAAGAAGCAGCCTTTGCCTACCCTCAACCATGTTTAACCCATGAATCATGCAATAGACATGTTAGGGTTTAAAGTAGATAGCTTTATTCGGATTATTATTCCTGATCAAATGCGTTCTTAATCAATTCTTCAAACTTTCCTCCGATGGAAATTCACACCACCTTGTTGTCTAGTAAGAAAAGAACACTTCTTTGAATGCCCAATATCCTTCAATGGAGGTTGCTAGACTCAAGAGAAGAATAGAGTTTGGGTAGTGCCTTTGGTTATTCCAAGAGAGAGATAGCCGCCACACTGATGTGTGTGTTGGCTAAGGTTTTAGTAGAGAAAATTAGAGAAGAAGAAGTGATACTAAACTAAGGAAGAAGAGTGACTATATATAGATGTGGCGACTCATTAAACTACGACTAGGTCAAATCAGCGCCCTCATCAAATCCCAATCTTATTGGGTAATTTTCTTAATTTTATCCAATCAATCCAATTGATTCGTTTTCCCAATTTCAGTCAATTATTTTAATTAATTGGTTTCCTTAATTTTATCCAATCAATCCAATTGGTTGGTTTCCTAAATTTCAGCCAATTAATTTAATTAATTGATTTCCTTAATTCTAGTCAATCAATCCAATTGATTTGTTTTCCTAATTTCAGCCAATTAATTTAATTAATTGGTTTCCTTTAATTTTGGTCAATCAATCCAATTGATTTGTTTCCCTAATTGCAGCCAATTAATTTAATTAATTGGTTTCTTTTAATTTTGGTTAATCAATCCAATTGATTTGTTTCCCCAATTTCAGCCAATTACTTTAATTAATTGGTTTCCTTAATTTTGATCAATCAATCCAATTGATTTGTTTCCAATCAATCTAATAGATTGGTTTTCTTTATTTTCTCCATCTTCAATAAATCTAGTTTAATGACTATATTTAAATTCAAATTTTAAATTCAAAATTCAAAATTAAAATTAAAATTTATTAGAATTTAAATTAATTTTATTTAAATTCAAATTTTCAATTCGAAATTAGTATTCAAATTAATTTTATTAATTTAACATTTAAATTAATTAGGTTACATCATGGATCAAGTCCAACTTGACCCATGATGCCACCTACTCTCTCTTGGCCCAATATGTGGGCTTTTCCAACTTAGGCCCATTATGCCTTATTGGGCCCAAAACACATATGCTAGAATTGAAGACAACTTAAGGTGTTTGTGTGCGACCCATCAGGCCCAACATAGCCACTGACATAAATGGGCTTGGACCCATTTGGCCCAATCCATCTAATGACAACACAGAGCACTAACAATGCTTTGTTGTCCCAGAGCTAGTTGAGTTCATCGAATGATCAAAGTGTTATACCTATTTGGTTTCCGTGTAAATTGTCCTTTCGTCTCCGTTATCCATCCCATTGACCTATGTCAAGAAAAACGTATCAACCCCTGCGGTCTAGGGTTAGCTTTTGCCGAAATAGGGAATCTTTATTTACGGACTCTAAAGAGCGGGTCAT